CGAACATCTGTACGACAGATAAAAGTAAATCAAATTACAGAGTCTCGATGAACTATAGCAATTCTGATAAATGTTTCTCACCGGTGAAAAGCTAAAGCAAGTGGTTCTGTAAACTAAGATGGAAAATATGGACGTTCTCATCGCGAAAAATATGCATCATTTCTGTAGTAGCAAGATCGAGTTACAACAGAATGAATAATAATTCCGAGAGTACACTCAGTGGACTTGCAGGCAATGGGCCTAGTGAATCGACGCGATTCACGTTATTTATTTTTATCAGAATCACTCATATATATATATATATAGATATATATAAAGGATTGTCCAGGAGTCGTGAAGCCACTTTTCTATTAAACTCCTATCTATATTGATTTGTGTTTAAATATTTAATATTTAGCTTAAAGAATAGAGAATTTAATTCTCTAGGGAACTGTTGATTTTGTTTTGAAATTATTTTCGAAATTTAAGCAGAATATTCAGGATATTAAAATATTCTTATTTTCTAAAATGTGCAGAATAAAGTTAACTTCTTTAGCGAAGCGTTGCTGATCTCTCAGTTCAATTTACAGATAATTACTTTAACGTCAAAAGATACAGAATCTTATGTTGTACAATCTGACACTATTTGTGTTAAATGATTACTCTATTCTTTTTTGCGAGAAGGAAAGCCCTAAATTGACTGACTCGATTTTTACGGATGCTTTTATACATGAAATTTCTGAAAACCCGACAGGACTATTGCTATCACTTACTTAGTAAAAATGCTAAATTTTTGTGCCAAAGTAACTTGTGTTAGGTTTTGAGTAGTATTCTTAAACGTTTTCTTTATAAATAAAAACTTGGAACTCTCCTCTATCATTAGAAAAAAATCAGCTCGTTCGCACAAGCATTTGTGCGTCGCATTCGAACAAAAGAGAATTTTCCCGTCGTTGACTCACAATGCTTACTCCCATGTTCGGAACTGGCCTCTACAACTTTCGTGTCCACACTTTTTTATGGAGATGCTCTTGTCCTTCGAAAAGTTGTGTAAGGTTTTTTAGTGCCATCTGTGAAGTTAAATTTTGGACATATAATTTTTGTAAAATCACGACAGTATTTTTATTCAAAACGAAGGGTAGTTTGCTATAGGTTATCGGTCCTTCTCTTCGCAATGGTGTTACTTTTGGGTCATTTCAGGACAATCAATGCTACCTCCCGCTCTGATCGTCCTTAGTAAATACATCATAAATCACATATAAAATTTTAAATTTAAAAAAATAACCAAACATTAACAAAACCACATGAGCACAGCTTATATTAGTAGCCAAACGAATAGCCAAAGTGAGAGGACGAATTATAACCCACAGAAATTTAATTAAAGGAATAAAAAAATTTAAAATATAACCACATATTTAATCAAATAAACAATCAGACGTAGCAAAAACAAATTTATCATTATTAACTAGTAATATAAATTTAATATTTTCTATTAAATACACCATCTCAAAGTTAACGAATTAAATATTTCGTTTCCTGCATTTAACCATGATACAAAAGGTAAATTAAAAGCCAAATAAATTCAGTCCGAGACAAACTGTGAGCGGTTACTAAATCCGTCCAACATGAAGAGTACACCATCTTGTTCTCTCTCTAATGAGCTATGAATCGAATTTTTAGTACACGATTTGCGGCCGCTGTTCAAACTAGGAGCCCCGCAGATCCCTCAGTTTTCCTCTGTAAACCTTGTGAGGTCTCCAAATGGGTCAACTGAACACAAATAATCACTCTACTGGCATGATGAGTAACTTGACATCAAAGCCAAACTTTTATCTGCCAACATGAACTCTGGACAGATTACCCATCAGATACTCTAAATATGCTAGACCAAAAGTACTCCCTCACAGAAGTAACAGTACAACCTCACAGAACTCGACGAAGGAACAATCAAAAAGTATAAAACTTTCACCATAGACAGACCGAATAGTCCACGATCTGCTCACAAAATGTGAGCCATGATATGGGGGTATCCACTCTCTCTTAAGGTTACGTTCACACAACAAATTTAAGCTTAGATAACCAGTTATGCACGATTTATGCATGCATAATTTGCTACTGTGAACATAGTGTGAATTATCCTATATGAAGTCGATAATCACTCAGCTCTTACATGAAACAAAATGAAACACCATTAGCAGCGGCGATCCTCCCCCACACCAACAACAGTAACGTTATATGGTACCCTTTTTTTCTGGAATTCTTCAAGCGAAGGCACGTGTGGACCAGTGAAATATTTTCTCCCCCACACGATGTACCATAAAATGCTGACTCCAGCAAAGAAAACGAACAGCACACTGGCATAATTCATAGTCGAAGGCGTGACGGGTATCGCTGTTGGCATCGTAAATATGACGATAGCCAAGAAAATCCAGAGGATCGTGATGATATTGATGACATAGCCGAATTTACCAAGGTGAAACGGAGCGGTATCGACTAAATGTCGTCCTCGAAGGAGAAGTACGAAAACGGGTAATCCGTAAGAAGCAGAAAGACATATTGTAGCCACGCCAGTAAATGCGTTGAATGCAGCCGATGACCCGAGATAAATGAGGCCGAGGAGACCTTGAATCAGAGTTGAAAGTAATAAAGCATGGAGTGGAACATTGTATTGTTTGTTAATTTTTGACCAGAGACTCGAACCTGGTACAGCACCATCTCGACTAAACGCGTAAAGGCATCGAGAAGCGGCTGTCAAGGAACCGACTCCAGCGAAAAACTGAATACCGAGAAGAAGGAACAAGAGGCCAAATCCGCCGCCAGCTGAGCCTGTTGCCACCATGAAGAGATAGCCAATTGGTTGGCCGGTTGATACAGCGAGCACTTTATCGACATCGGGCATGACAAAAAGGATGGGGATTAGGTAAACGACACCTGTAATTCCAGCAGCGACGACAGAAAGCACCATCGCTTTCGGTACCTCTCGCTCTGGATTTTGAACTTCTTCGCACATGGCTGCTACCATCCCATAACCAGTGAGGGTATAAGCAGATTGAAGTAATCCGACGAAAAAAGCCCATCCTCGCGCCCAACCCGCTCTTGTCGCATCAAACTCAGTAAAGACATAGGCCGCATTTCTTCTGCCTCCCTTTGCCATGGTCAGCACGGCGACAAGTATAATCAAAACGGATGCACCCGTCCAATAAACACAGACGGTATTAATGAGATTCAAATATTTCGCGGCTAAGATGTTTGTAAACAATGCTGAAAGTAGTACGGCCCAATACATCAACACGACATGCCAAGCTGCTGGAATATAGGCTTCATTCCAAAGGCCAATAGCAGATAATATTAATTGTCCGCCAGAAAAACAGATTGACGTAGTCACTGTCCAATTTCCAACGAGACCTACCCATCCAGTTGTCCAAGAAGCAATAGACGCCCATCTCTTGTTTGCCAACATTGCGGACCAATAATAGACGCCTCCCGAGGTCGGGTATGCTGAGCAAATTTCCGCTAGACTTGCAGCAATACATATTGAAATAATAGTGAGTAATAACCAGCCGTAGAAGATGGTCACTGGGCCACCGTCTGTGAGACCAATAGAAAGAGTCACTGATTCACCGGAAGGCACAGCCATAATCGCAAAGGAAAGTCCAAGTACAGAAAAGAAGGACAACGAACGCGGTAATTCAGCTTTGTAGCCCATGGCAGCAAGTTTAGCGTCTGCCTCTTCGGAGACAGCGTCTTTTTCGTTCTTCGTCGTTATCATTATGCCAGCGTTTTCACGAGCGAAGAGCTCGTGCGATCCTTGAATGATGGTTGACATTCAGGCCTTTGAATCTTGAAAGAAAACCCCCGAGATATTCCTAGTAGCAAATGATCTAAAGCGGTGGCAAAAATAACTATTATTAGTTTTAAAATAAAATACGAGTGGAATGTAAATAACTCCGAAATGTAAGAAGTTCATGAGGAACAGTACCAAGAGAGTAATGCGCAGGACGTTGATCTATCTAAATAAAGTTTTACAGGAGTTTTTGAGGTTTTGCGCAAATGAAGAAGTATCTCAGAAATCTCCTCATTACATTGCTTCAGAAAGGAAAGTTGGAATTTTTACCCTCTTTCTTATTACTATACAGCAAAGTGGAAAAAAATTCAACTTTTATTTCGAAAACTGTCAGAAGCTTGAAAGCCGATACCGAGAAATCTCAAAAACTTGCGCATTGACCTGCATAATAATAGATTTTCCAGTTTCACTAATGCTCTCAACGAGTTATCACTACAAAAACATCAATCCGTTTAAGACTGCCCGCAATACCTTGTCAAGACTCATTGCAATGTGTCAGAAATGTCGGAATACCTCAACACATAGACTCAGATAATGCCACATCGAGTTAACTCAGCGTACCACGGCAATAATCGACCGAAACGGATCAGAGACGCCTTTTCCCTCATATACGGTACGCTAAGGGTATATTTCGAAATATCTAAATATCTAAAATATCTGGAGAAAAAAAAAATGCAGGCTGCAAAAATGAAAAGGACACAGATGCATTTTGGTCATGACGCCGTTTTTCGAGAACACTTTTCCGCTCCGCTAAATGTAGCTCAAGCGGACAAAAATGCTTTTGTAAGTCCCGCATCTCTGTGAAACTAATCGATGAATCTTAGAGCGTAGAGACGGTTACTCAACGACTTTACAACATATTTAGAAGATTGAAAAATGGCAATAATGGAGCCGTGCTTGCAGAAATCGGTACTTACCGAGGCTGAGATTCTCGGTCTTATTACATGCCTATGTTCGCATCGGCGCTGTAGTTGCCTCTGACGATCGTAGCTGTTTTTTCACAGTTATATGCGAGTGAAAGGAAAATGAAGAAAAGTAACAGACAATCTTCGTCGCATGTTGCACATGACAAATGATGAAAGATAACAGATGTGGCAGAGAGAAAGGTGAGAACGAAAAGATCAAGAACTAACATAAAGCGCAGAGGCATGATGGAGTAAGGTAATAAAGATACCTATGGTAGTGAAGACCATCTTTCAGAATTTTTCTCGCTCAAGATTAGAAGGACAGTCAGTGAGTCAGATGTGGTACAAAATTAAGAAAAGGGTAATAACTCTTAAATGTGATTATTCATTAGCCGATGCATTAATTACGCGCACTTCATTCTTTATGCTGCACATTCTGAACTGCATTGCATATGGCTGGGATGACCTCGTGAGGAGGCCAGAATCAAAGCTTCAAAGTGTAGAAATCAGATTGCCCATATAAAAAAATGATTATCACAAAGTGTTGGTTAACCCCTGAAGATGTTAATTCTGGAATACTTTCAGGTGGCGCTGCCGTAACGGCGCGACTTGTAATGACTTCTTGCATAAAATGCGTCAGAGGTGAACCAAAATTTTGTGATAAACATTTTTTCATATGGGCAATCTGATTTCTACACTTTGAAGCTTCGATTCTGCTCTTCTTACGCGGTCATTCCGGCCATACGGTATGCAGCCGAGTCACCATCCGAGAGCATCCATTTATACCTGAGCATCAGAATCGAACAAAACGGATTAGATAATTCATTTTTCGGCTTCTTGAGAAACATATTTTTTTGAAACTCGGCTGATGCGATTGGTTCTTGGAAGTGAACATGTTGAAAAATAAAATGAAGAGAGTAACAGCGCCCTCAAAATTTTTTCGTCTATTCTGATTCTGTCTCACATTCTTTATCCCACTTGCCGATTTTTTTCTGCGACGTTTTGATTTTCAAGAAGTGATCGCGTCATTAAAATTTTAGAAAAAGAAATTTCTGAAAAAACATCTTAAGCAAAATTGTCAAGGATAATTATAATTACCTCAATCGATATTTTTCGATCGACCGTTCAAACATTCTTCGTGTTTCCTCGACCTCCATGCCTTTACTTGAACTCTCGTAGTTCTTGCATTTTTCGTTGCTCATCTTAGTTCACATTCGCAGTTGTCAATGTTTTGTGTGTGAAACCGATTTCTGAGAAGATTTTCTTTTCGATGCCATTTGAGCCAAGACGCTTTCGTGCCCAACAGTGTTGAATTCTTTCGTGATTATACCGACGAGGTAGAGGCTAAGAAAAGGATCAGTAGCCGATGCATTTCGTGTGACGTCATCAGAATTCTTAAGATGGACCTCAAATCGCTTTATACGTTATCGAATATAGAAAATTCCGCTGTATCGAACTGCACTTTGGCTTTTTTTGAACAAGTGTCAAATCTAGGCCTGCAAAAGTTCAGCGTTTCTTTTTAGCGTTCTCTTTGAACGTGAACGCTACATACGTTGACGTTCCTTGAACGTGAACATTGTTTTTTGAACGTGAACACGAATGTTCTAGTGAACGTTAACGTTATTTTATATGAACGGTGATCTTGTGTAGAATGAGTAGTACTGTAAAACGTTATATAACAATTTCACCTAGTGGTATACCAAATGAAACAGCTTTCTCCATTATCAGTTATATTTAGTGAAAAATCAACGCTCGTTTGTCCGAAATGGGTTACGATAACAAAGGAAAACGTATGCAGTTACCGTAATGGTTTTGGCCAAGGAACTTCAGTTCCAGTGCCGGAAAAACTAGTCTTCTGGTCAGGTAATCCTCGATCTGTTCTTGAAAAATCAATGTTTTGATCAGAGAATCACGGGATATCCTTTTTACATTGCAATAATCTGATCACTGCCCTGAGCAGACCATCTGATCCTTCACTAGATGACTTCTATTGATCAGATAAGACCAAGCAGAAATGTATATGTTCTTACTATAGTACAAGAACAGAAGTTTATATTTACTTCAGACGATATGAACACCGTTCGTAGAAGAAAAGCTCACGTCCACCAGTGCGAGCGTCACAATCTGCTGCCTATTCGAGCTGAAACGAAGAAAAAGAATGAATTGATTCGGATAACGGGAATTAGGATTCTGTCGTCGATCGATCGATTCCTCGTGTGATGACGTCAATCGATGACACGAACGAGAAGCCATTATCGTGGTTGCTCATCAAAATCAATCGATCAGCTGAGGTCTGTTCATTTGACTGATCATCGACTCAGCTCGTCGCCCAACGAAGCCAAACGAGGAAGAGTCTTTGCTCATAGAAACGACAATCAACAACAATCAAATCAAATCCATCTCGATCACAGAGTTCCAATGTCGAGCTCAGTTGCGAATGCATTTGCTTTTGATTTGAGAACTAACAACAAGTTTGAGAGTCGCACAAGAACAACTACTAGTCACATGAATCTTGCTGTTGTCAAAACATAGAAGACGAAATGAATGCTGACTGAACTCACAATCAAATCTGATTGGCAGGAACAACCCAAGCAAAAACGACCCAATTTTTTGGGTTATTTATCTAGATTCAGCTCCACGTACATCTAGATGCCCGGGGCCCTGAATCGAGATAAATAACCCAAAAAAATGGGTCGTGT